GCCTACGGTTCAGGAACAAGCGAGGCTCACGCGCATCATCAGATTCGTTCGAGCTCATCCGTCTTCGGTCACGTGTATGTATCCTAAGAACGGCGAGTTCAAGATCACGGGACGTGCAGATTCGAATTGGGCGGAGGATCCTATCGGCAGAAAGTCTACCAGCTGCGGGCAGCTGTTTCTCAACGGAACACGTATCATGCAGCTCGTTAGGACCCAAGGGGCTCCAGCTCCCTCGTCCCCCGAGGCTGAGTTCAACGCGCTCGTGCACATTGGGATCGAGTCGAGAGGGGCCCAGACATATCTCAAGGAGCTCTTGGACGAGACGGTGCCCGTGACGCTGGAGAGCGACAATTCGAGCGCCCTGACCCACGTCGAGAAGAAGAGTCGGCAGGATGCGACACATCGAGTTGAAGGATTTGTGGCTCAAAGACCTCGTCGCGCGCAAAGCTGAGACGAAGGTCAGTACCAACGAGGTCAAGACCGACGAGAACACGGCAGATCTTGGGACCAAGCATCTCGCAAGAGCCGATCTTATGAGGCACCTGACGGCAATGAAGGTATGGCTCACTGGGAAGGGCGAAGTTGGTGGAATTTCGAGTTCAAGTTCAAGCAACGACAAGAAGGGCCAGATCGGTAAGCCTGCGCTGGAGTTGATGGGAGCTCTTACTCAGTGTTTAGTTGGCTTGGGTGCGTTTCTACAAGTGGGACGTGCTGACGCTACGGAGTTGTGGGATAAGAGCAGCTACCAGCCAGCCGCGATCATTGGTCAAGGTGATGAAGGCCATTTTGGCAATCCTCACGTGGTCCACACGTTGGCGGTCATCCTTACCACCGTCATCGTGATGGTTACTGCCTACAAAGCTAAGCAGACGATGGACTACGCACTACGACCCGCACGCAAGGACGCCTCGACTCAGTACATCTTGAAGCACGCGATGGAGAATCCAGAAATGGACAAATCAGTTAGACTTCATCATCGGGCCATATTCACAGCCATGACGATCGAGAGTGGACGTCATTACTTACGTGTTCGGAGGGCTGGCCGATCCTTCTCAACATCGAGGAAAGGAGAAATGATCGAGATGTGTATCGAGACCACCCTCGGCGAGATTGACAGGGAGATAGTCTACAGCATGAACGGCTCTGCAGATAGCTGGCATCCCAGCTCATGTGGTGGTACGCTATTGAAGTGTTTCCTGTTGCGTGCCCTATCTTGGCTGTGGCTGCAGATGGTCCCGAGGAGGAGTCCAGGAAACAGGAGATATAACACTGGAGATGAGAAGATACGTGATGGAATATCTGAGTGAGGTTGAGTTTGCGAGGTTGTTGTAATTATGACACTTGTGTACTTTCAAGAGCCAGTTTGGGCTCAACTCATGCTTGAGATGGAAAAGAGTTTCTACCAGCCCTTTCGGGCAAGGTCCGTAGACCCCCAGCTCCGCCACTTGAAGTTATCAAGATAACATACACTTATTACATCGAGCACTTGCATATCTATATATTTCTACAGGGCCGGGGAGCCCCCCCCCAGCGCCCCCCCCCCAACCAATTTGGCCCTCCCCGGGCCTCCGGGCAAACCTTCAGACGACCCAGGAGAACCTCACGAGAGTCCGAAGACGGCCCTGCCCTAGACGGGTTCCAGGCGTTCTTGCGCGCTCCCGAAGCGACCTGCAAAGAGCCCCAATACGGTCCACGACGACCCCCAAGAAGCCGTCATACCCCCAAATATCGTCCCGAAACATCCCAAGAGGCCTCCAAGAGCACCCCCAAGAAGGACCCAAGAGGCAAAAATCATTGATTTTCTTGGTTTGGGTGAATTTGGGGGTTCTCCTCTTTTCGGCTTCCCGACGCTCCAAGACGGCGGTCTTCTGGGCGTCCGAAGCCGGCTGGGAAGCTCTAAAATCGCCCCACAACCATCCGAAAGGGCTTCCAGGCAGTCCAAGAGAGCCCCAAAACGGCACAGCAGGGGTCCAAGATGGCCCTCAGAGAGCCCCATGGCGGCCCAAGATGGCCCCAAGACACCCTCCGAAGCATTCCAAATCGTGACCCGGTCGTTCAGGGAGACCGCGGTTGGAGGCAGGGAGGCCCGAGGAAACCCCCAGGGGCCCCCAGAACACGCCCAGGAGGCCTCCAGAAGGCCTTAACAAAGCCTGAAACAACTTTTGTGAGGCCCCCAGAGGCTCTCCAAGGAGGAGCCTCCGCAAAAAGAGCTGAGGAGGATGGGGGAATGCGCAGGGTATGGCGAAAATGAAGAAAAAGAAGCGTGGAAGAAGGATAACGAATAACATTATTATAGCGGCGATGCCGGAAAAGGCAACAAGGAGTTATCGCTACATTGTCGGCTTGACCTTCCTGCCATTCCGGCTGCATACCAAACTTCAAGGACCAAAGTGCATGGCGCGAAGCGCCACTCCAGTCTTGTGTATATATATATATATATATATGTATACACAAGATATTATTGGCTCGCTTCGCTTCGCCACAGCATCTTGTCCCTCATCCTCATCCTTGGCGCAGGAGCGCGGGTCTGGTACCTCGCCGCGCTATGTGGTCACAGAATGTGGCGAGCTCGTGAGCTTTCATTGCCATAGGAGTGTGAACTTGATGTGCGTCGAGGGGCTGTCGTGGGTGTCTGTTTTCGTAAGGAATGAGCATGTGCGCGGACGCAGAGCCACCCAACGGGCCGAACCAATTTTTGCTTCACGTTGACGGCTGCTTTTTCTTTTTCGGGCCCGGGTGGGGGGCGTCTGACGCCCTCCGGGCACGCTGGCGTCGAGGGGCTGTCGTGGGTGTGGGTTTTCGTAAGGAATGAGCATGTCCCGGGGCGCGGAACCACCCGACGGGCCGCACCAATTTTTGGTTCACGTCGACGGCTGCTTGTTATTTCTCGGGCCCGGGATGGGGGGCGGCTGGCGCCCTCAGGGCACGCCGGCGTCGAGGGGCTGTCGTGGGTGTGGGTTTTTCGTAAGGAAAGAGCATGTCCCGGGGCGCGGAGCCACCCGACGGGCCGAACCAATTTTTGGTTCACGTTGACGGCTGCTTGTTCTTTTTCGGGCCAAGATGGGGGGCGCCTGGCGCCCTCAGGGCACGCCGGCGTCGAGGGGCTGTCGTGGGTGTGGGTTTGTATACGTCGTCTCTGTTCGTGGAGGCCTCATGGATGGCTTCTCGCGGACGTCCTGGGGGCCTGTTGGGCCTCTTGGGGGCCTCCCGGGGCTGTGTTCGAGCCTTCTGGGGGGTATCCTGGAGCCGAAGGGCCGAAATGTCGGGTCGGATCCTGTCGTGGAGCCTTCCTTTGAGCCGTCTTGAGGGTCTCCAGGGCCGTCTTGGGAGTCTCTTGCACCGTCTTCGGCCGTCTTGGGGCCGTGTGGGGCGTCTTGGAGGCCTCTTGGGCCGTCTTGTGACGAACTGGGGCATCTTAGAGCGATCTGTGGGCGTCTTGGAAGGCTTCTGGGGCTGGTCGGACCAGCTTGGCGGTAATTTCAGGCATTCTCGGGGTTGTCTTGAGCCCGTCCGGGGGGGTGGCGAATTAGGTGACGCACATCCGGGGGGGTTTTCCCTTATCATTTGATAGGGAAAAGGAATCTATATGCTTGTGTCTTGGGCATGGCGGGTGTATGTGCGTGCCTGGTTTCGCGTGCGTGCTGCTTGTGTGTGTGTGTGCGTATCGCTGGTTGAGTTGTGTTCCTATGGCCTTTACAAAGGGGTTCGTCGCACAGTGCCGGGCACTGCTTTGAACAACGCGCATCGCTCAAAGCAGTCCCCGAGACTGCTTTGAACGATGCGCAATCCTGGCCAGAAGGGGGCAGGGCAACAGCAGGATCGCCTTCGGCGTGCCCCTACATCTGGAAATCCTCCACATCCTCCTCCTCCTCCTCGTCCTCATCCTCCCCATCCTGTGCCCTCTCCTGCCTCGTTCTTACTTGCTGATCTGCACCCCCTCTCTTTCCTCCCTTCCCCCGTCTCGGCGACGACGACGACGGCGACGACGCAACGACGACGACGGCGGCGGTAGCGGCGACGACGACGACGACAGATTGTGTGTCGTGCGTGTGGGTGACATGTCTGCGCGTGCTGTGTCAAGTCCGAAGCGGGCTTCGTGATGTGTATTGCAAATGGTGAATTGCGAGCTGTGTCACGTGTCGTGCGCTGCATGCTCGAGGGATTTCTGGGCTGTCTTGGGGGACCCTGGGGAAATACTACTGATGTCCACTGGGCTCGTGAGGTATGTTCTGTCATGTAGGTCTGCCGTGCTTGTCTGCCGTGGTGTGCGTGCGTTTGCGCGTGCGCGTACGTGTGTGCTTGGTGTGTGTGTGTGTGTGTGTGTGCGTGCGTGCGTGCGTGCGTGTGTGTGTGTGTTGTGTGTATGCGTGTGTGTATGTGTGTGCGAGTGTGTGCGTATGTTTACTGCGCATGATGAGTATGTGCGTGTGTGCTTACTTGCGTGTTCGTGTGCTCGGAGCGGCTGTGTGTGTTGCTGTCTTTGTTTGGGTGGTGTGTTAAGTAGGTGTGTGATGTATGTGTGTGCTTTGCGTGTGCATGTGTGTGTACACGCTGCGTGATGTGTGTGTGTGTGTATATGAATGTGTGTGCTCCGTGTGGACACCCCTGGGCGCTCTTGAGCTGTCTTGTGCCATGGTGGGTAATCTTTGGGAGTCCTCTGGGGAATCGTTTGGAGCTCTTCTAGGCTGTCATACGCTGTCGCAAGACGGCCCAAGAAGCCGCCACGACGTCCCAAAACAGCTCCAAGAAGTGCCACAGAGGGGGGAACGCAGAAAGATATTTCGAGCCCTCCGACCCAAGATGACCCTGAGACCGCCAGCAAGCCCCCAAGAGATATCCAGAAGCTCCAGGATGCCCCCAAGGAGCCCAAATCAGCCCCAAGAGGCCTCAAAGAAGTCCCCGAGGCCCCCCCAACACCCCAGAACAACCTCTACGAGGGTTCCCATAGTCCTTCCAAGAGATCCCCACAGGCATCCAACAAGAGTAGAACAAACAATGAATTTGTTTTTTTCTATGCATTTCCATAGTCCAAGCCCAGCAATACGATGTAATGACTTCTCCAGTTCGGAAAAGAGTAGATTCTGCTGCAAGGTCCATGTATGACTGGCTTGAGTATAATTAATTGCGCATGCTGGAAAGCAGCAGTGACTGTCAACGAACACCGTCGATGAGCCCGTGCTCGCGGAAGAACGAGCATATGAAAGGCGCCAGATACGCGGACGCAGCCTCGCTGAGATGATGATAGTCTGAATAAGCCAAGTCCGCCACCGTGCCGCGAGGCACGAGTCGGAGCACCCTCAGGTCCCTTGCAATCTTCAGCCCTCCGTCCCAAGGATGGACTCTTACGGGGCCCGTGCGCCCAAACTCTCAAATCTTTCAGGGTTCCCGGCGTGGTGTCCCGGCGCTCCCCGCATGACTTCTTCGGAACCAAGAGGGCCCCAAAACGGGCCAAGAGGGCCCCAGGACAGGCACCGTGGCGGGATTCGGCGGCGCGCACTCGGGGGAAGTGAGACAGGGCAGGCTTTCTCAGAAAGCGGCGGGGCTTTTTCAGAAGCCCTCCCGCCCTCTGGCAAATCTTCTGTGTCTTCGGGGGAGGTCTGGAAAACTTCTCGGAAGGCCCTTGGCCATTCCGAGCCTTCTGGCAAGGCCCGCCCCTTCTCAACTCCCCCGTGGTCTCGCCGCCGACGAATGGGCCGAAGGCCAATAGCTAGTCGGTCTCAGGAATGAACGGGCTGCAAAATTCCCTGCTGCAGAAAAGGCCCTCCACCCCGAAGTACAGCCAGTCGTTCCTCGCACTCACGGCCACGAGGACCGGGCTCCGCATCACCTCGCTCCTGGCGGGGAAGCACCATGGCGGCTGGATCATCGGCATCACGCGGCACCGCGAGGGGTCCTCAGTTTTCAAGAAGCTGTACTGGTCCCCAAAAACAACGAGCGCTGCGCCCTTGGATTTGACGACGGCGGCCCATTCCTCCAGAAAAGACAGGTCCGCCACCGCGCAACGGGTACTGAGTGTGAATGGGGGGTCCACAGGTCGCATTGACTTCTCTGCGCTGAGTCATGTGAATACCCCTGAAAGGGCCCAGGGCGCGATGTTCTGGGCGCTTTGGGGCGCTACTGGGGTGGCCCCCTTGTCTTTTTTAACGCCTCGGGGGCGTCGGCATTCGACACCCTCGGCGTGGCCTACGATGGTCTAACAGTTAGGAGGGGGCGGTAGGCCCGACCAAAAGCTACGCCGTAGGCGAAGCGCAGCTCCAGCTCTGTTGTATCGTAGTAGCGGTAGTCCCAGTAGTAAGAAGTTGTCGCGGGAGCGACGGGCCATCTCAAGCGACAAATGTTTTCGGTCTCGGCGGCGAATCGTACACCTCGACCTGAGGTATGGTCAAATATAAGCGGCCGGCCGCTTGGGCACAAACGGCCACGGACACACGCTCGTTACCTCTCGCCTGTATCCAAGCTCACTCTAGTCGGGGGGGAGGGAGACGAAGCGTGAGCCAGCCGCTTCTATACAGCAGATACAGCCGCTACTATGTACAAAAGGTAGCAAAAAGGGCGGGGCCGTAAGGAAGGCGGACCCGCACGCAAGCTGCTTTGCCTGCACGTTACTGCGCATACGATTGCTCCTCGTCTGGCCAGCCCTATAAGGAATATGGCGCTGTAAGTCATGTTTGAAGGATCGCGTGCCTCCCATGACCTGTAGGAACATCTCTGTCGAGGCTCCCCTTTGTGTGACCATCCGCGGTCATGTCGCGAGTGTCACACCACTGAATACTATGCACGATTCCTCGCTCCATCATCTGTCGTATCCAACTGATGTATCCTAAAAGGGTACACTCAGTCGGCTTCTTTAAGTCTTTGCTTGACAAGGACCAGAAAAACAGACTCAGCATCTATGGTCAAAGAGACCTTGATGCTCATGCCGCCCAACTCAAGTACGTCTTTCAACTGAGTGGGAGTCAGCGGCCCTGCATGGAGCTCGTGCAGAGTCATGATCGTGGGATAGCAGTCCTCCAAGTTGCGGGATGCTGCTAGTGTCTGTTGAATAGCTTGAGCGGACCTGCAAGCGGCGAGACTTGCAGTGCGCATCGATTAAGTGGACGACAGGCTTATCAGATGGCGTGGTTCCACGCCGTAGCAGGTTTGCCCCGCGAATGCCATAGCCTTTGACTTCGCCATCGGCATCTCCACTCAGGCGTCGATAGCCCGAGTCGCTGTGCAGGTCAGCTTCGTCCGTTGGAGTCATCGCTTGGTAGGCGATCTTCTTAGGGCAGGCCTGCAACTTCCTGGTGATCGCGTTCAGTCGTCGCACTTGTATATTGGTTGGTTATTGGACACGTTGTTGAGAGACCACATCTACCATCAAGCAAGCTTGGGTGAATAATGCGTAAGCCAATGCGCCTCTGAGGCTGGCGAACATGTCTGCAACCATCTTGGACGCCCTGGCGTCAGCGTCGGCGACAGTGAGTTCAGGATGTTGTATGGGGCGGAGCTGTTTGATGTATTCATATTGGTCCAATGTGAAATTGCCGTCCTCATCCTTGGTATACCTCACAGCACACTTGGCATTTGTATGTTTATTGAGTTTGCACTTGCCAACAATCTCCTCGGCGCACTTGACGCACTTGTCAATGGCGTCCTCGGTGCCGGCCTGATCGATATCATCAACATGTTTGGCTGTGAGCAGGTTACTGCTCGTCTCGAACTCCTCGTCTCAGGACGTGGGTCTGGGACCGAAGCCTCGTGGTCCTTCTGAGCTTTAGTGAGAAAGCTATGGGTGCATCCTTGGTGCCGGTGCCTGGCTTGAGGCACTGCTGGCAGTGCTTCGACTCGTCGTAGTGCTCGAAGCATGGGAGGGGCCCAAGCGCCGTAGCCGATCCAGGCGGCAAAGTAAAGCACGCCACGCGTTCTTTCTGACCAGTTGCCTCAGCAAGTTCCTGGTAGGTCAACCCTTTCAGGAAGGTCATGTTGGTGCCGAGGGAAGCAATGATCCATTGCTTATTGCACGCTGCCGTGCTTGTGAGTAGTCTCTGGCTCGACCGCCGCGCTGTCCCTGAGAAGGTTTTCGCATCGAAAACTTGAAGGCCCATGAAGCCCCGAAGCGCCAGGCGCAATCTGATGGCACGTTCCATCTCGTCCTTCTCGTTCTTCACGAACTTCCATTTATACACGTACCTCGAAGTCGTGATGCTTGGCGCCTTAGATATATCTTGCATATTGAAACACTTGTTGTCAAACCAAGATTTGAGTTCAGTAGATAGGGCCTCTGATACTTTATCGGGATTCGCCTGGATGTCGGCCTTCGCGAGAAGGTCGTCTGCCTTGACGGCCATAGCTCGCTGTGCCGCGGCGATAACATATACTCGCATGGTGGTTGCACGGTCGGCATCTAATATCCCGCGCTGTTCGGATAGGACTACCTTTTGACACGTCTGCCGTGAAACAATGTTCTACATATGGACCGTTTTCGTCTGAGTCCAATCCGTTGCTGTGGTCTTCGACCGCGGAGCATAGTGGGACACGATGCGTCTCTTCGATGTCGGAGTCGCGCGGGCGCCCCCCCACTTAGGCAGGTGTCCCCGCCGCTCTTCAGCTACATTGACCAGCGCACTGTTGTCGGTAATCATATGTGCGGGTGCAGTGCAGAGGTCGCCTGGTGGAGTTGCCTCCAGTAGTTCCCTTTCGTCGTGCAGTTCTGTGTACCGCACTTCCATGATATGTGCCTCGAGATCAGCTTCCGATTCTTCACATATCGTAGGGGGCCGTCCATCCTCCTGCGGTGGTTCGGCTTCTGGGGCTTCTCTGGCGTTTTTGTCTTGTGTAGGTATGTCCGCCAGTTCCTCAAACTTTGTCATATCTTGGTCAACGCCCACTTGAGGTTTCGTGGACTTTCGGCTCTGGATGGTTCTCGAATGTGCTGATCCAGGTACGTCATGGAAATTCAGGGCAGTGCCTTCTGCTTCATAGCAATGGACACCTGGATCCACATCGTTGAATAATGGACCAGCGTGCAACAGTCAGCGTAGGCCACCGGGGGTAGCTCATGGATAATCTTGGCCAACCTAACAAAGACTACGTTCTCAATGCTGGAGAAATTTCGGATAAGGTATTGTAACGCCATATGTACCTTAGGAAATAGTCGCCTTGCACATGTCATCTGAAGCGTCCCCTTTTTGGTCGGGACGTAGCCAAATGTCATAGCAGGTCTCCCCGCAGGTAGACTGGCCACGAGTGTCAACACTGTCCACAGTGCAGTGTTGTCGGAGCCGATTTCCCTGGCTATCAAAGCTTCGATGTAAAGTGAATGTCGTGCGTCGCCATGCTGGCCTTGTACATCGCAGCTTCCCACTCGAATGATCACTTGACCCCTGTCGGGATCATCTCGTACAACTGGGATCGGGCCTTCCGAGCATCCCCAGTCGTCCTTCGTAGCTGCGGGGCGATGATAATAACCAAATCTCCTTCGTCGTAGTAGTGCTGACCGGTGATGGTTGTCTTAGTGCGCAATGCACGATTGGTCTTGGCTACTGCAGTAGCCTGTGTGATAGCTTCAATGCATACCTTGCGTATCACCTGTTCTCGCGAGTGATCCGACGTTTCGGTCGGCTGTTCGCGATCCAGAACAGGCAAGTCAGGGAGCATTGCCGGTTGCCGCCCAAACAAAGCATTTTATGGGGACACCTCATTGTCAAAGGTGAAAGCACTGGCGGCAAACAGGGCTTCGTGCAATAATCGTGTGAACACAAGAGGTATGTCCAACCTTTTGAGTTCAGCTTCCATAGCGTGAAGTAGGTGACGTAATATGCGATTTCTGGCTTCAATCGTCGTAGCGCGTTGTCCACGCGCGCGTGCCCTCAGCTCGGCGCCTTTTGCCTTAAGGGCTGCCTTCGCAGCGTTGTTACAAGGGCACCCTCCCCATCGGAGTAGAGTACCTTGGCAGGTCCGGCTTGCATCCAGCACTGATGATACGCATCTGGGATGCTGGTCATTGTCTTTTCTGGTATCTTCATTCCAATAGCATAGCGAATACAACGATCGATGATGTGACATATATGTTGTGTTCCTGTTTTTTAGAACATACGGTCGCATTCGACCTCTTCGTTGAACTTGCCAGGTAGTGCAGTGGATGGCATAACGGTATGCCCTGGCTTGCCCCAAGCCCTGCACTCCCGACATGCGTCGCAGACGCCGTTGATCAGGTTGAGCCTGACGTTGTCCAGTCCTGCCTTGGGCAAGATGACTCTCATCTTAGGATCTTTAGCATGGAACCATCGCAAGCGTAGTAGCTTCCGCAGCTCGCTTGTTACCGCGCTTGGGTCAAGGCTTCGCGAGATTGGTAGGCTGATTTGTACATCGAATCTTGACCAGTCTGGAATTCGTGGGCGCGCAGCAGGGTTACCCGCAAGTGGCGGTGGAGGCGGATATCCTCCCTGCTGTCGACCACGTCTGGCGTCTGGCTCTGACCTGTGGCAGTCGGCGGTGGTCATCCGAGCTGCCAGCTCCGCTCGAGGCAGGTTGCCCCGCAGCAGGTTCAGCAGCATGTCTGCCCACTGCGATGTCGTGGCTGCTGGCGCCAACTGTGGGGCCAGCCCTAGAGCCGGCCGGGTCTCGGTGCTCGTAGCCGCGCGCCTCGGGTGGTGGTGCTGCCGGTTCGACAGGAACTTGTGGTGCCTGTCCGTGGTTGTCGGGCAAGTTCCAAGGTTTGGGAAACTTGCACTTGCCAGGTGTCCGTAAGTGACCAGGCTTGTTCTGGCCATAGTTCTTCTTGCAATTCGAACATTCCCAATAGTAATCCCCCATGTCATACCACCTGCAATGTCTGGGGTTTCTGTCATGTGAGGGAGAGTGCATGTTCACATTATCTGCGCACGCAGGACATCCTAATCCTCCCGAGGGCGGTCTCGTGATCGACCCGTCGGGTTGTCGAGGGTTAGTTGGATCGTCCAGATCAGATCCCCGCGCGTTGGTGACAAGGACGGTGGAATAAAA